AAAAATTATATATATATATATATATATATATATATATAGTAAGGAGACTAAAAGTATTACTATTATGGTGTAAAAAAATATTACTATTATTAAACTTTGTTATTAATAATGTTAGTTTCTATTTTTAATTTAATAATTTTTAATATATAATTAGTAATTAATATTTATACAATAACAAGTTCTAACACAATTGGTTGATAATTGATTTTTTTTAAAGTATATTAAGTATGTGTTTGGTTTCAATTTTTAAACACAAATTCTTTATCTCTCCATGTCCAATTATCAATTTACGGAGAAGCTATTATTTTTTCCTTCCAGTTAAACGTGAAAAATCATATTTTGATGTTAATACAAACACACGGTAACAAGATTGAATTCTCAAGTCATGTGTCTCCAGATCCTCCCCATAGAGAAATGGAGAAATCTAGTTCATGCATTGAGAGAATGACACGTGGATAAAAAATTTAATGGTTGAAATTTCATCTCTTTTCAATTGCATTAGCAGAAACCAAACAACAGGACCTTCTCCCACAAAGTAAAGTTATAAGTTATATAAGAAAATTTTCAGCATTCAGCAACATTATGACTTGCTCTATAACATGTGAATAGTCGATGAATTGTCACCACCAAACTTGAATAATTGAATTGGTGTATGGCATTGGTCATTTATAGGTTGCTCTCTTATTTGCCTAAACTTACTTTGCCAGTTAAAGTGGCAAAGTTTCATCGGTAGAAAAATAAAATGTTAGTTGTTCCTAATCATGTTCTAATCAGATCAGAAAATACACTTGATTGTTCTTATTTAGCTCCTCTAAGCCACTTGTGAATGTTTGAGAAATATTGGAACCAATGAAGTCCAAAAATGAGAATATAAATACTTGAAAAAAAAATATTCAAAACATGTAGATAAATATCCACTGGTGAGAATGGTAGGTTAGGACTTACGAGGCAAAAACCTTTGTATTTTTATCCACTTGTCATATACTTGCATCATATATAGAACAACCGGATATTATTACTATTAGTCATTAAAGGTTACTATGTTCGTTTACTGTGATTTAAAATTTCTACACATAAATTAAGAATAATAATAAATATATTAATTTTTTTTATATTAATTTACTAAAATAACTTACCTTCTTAATAAGTATATTACTTTTAATTGTGATAATTAAATAACTTATAAAAAAATAAATTGGAAAAAATTAAGATTACATTGGAGAATATTATTCATTTTAGAAAATTTTTTTAATGTTAAGACTGGTCATTGCGGTTTTATTTTATTTTTTTTTGTATATAAAATATTAATAATTTTATAAAATATATATTATTAATTATATTTTAATTATGTTATTATATATAATAAATAAATATATTAATATTTTTTTATATTTTATTTTATTATGTTTATCTTATTAATTTTTATCATTTT